TGGGCAAGGTGGTGCAGGTCTTCCGGCTGATGCGCATCTTCCGTGTGCTGAAGCTGGCGCGGCACTCCACCGGGCTGCGGTCGCTGGGAGCCACTCTGAAGGTAAGCTGGCCATCTCCCAGCTGTGAGGGAAGGACACTGAGTGAATCCTCCTTCTACACAGAGCCAAGGCTTGCAGAGGGCCAGTGTAGGAGCAGGGTGCTGGCACGCTGGAAGGCAGCACTCATGCAGGTCTGGCGAGACAGGGCCCTCATCTCCCATGTCATGCCCTCTTGTGATAAAAGATGAAGCATGAAGGCACTGAGCCCCACACCACCTGTCACTGCACCTCCATCACTGCAGCTCAGGCACCTTGTCTGGTCTCTGCTGTCCCCACTGCCCCTTCCTCATCCATTCCCTCTGAGCTGATGTACCAACGGAGGGTGAAGCTGCCCCTTTCCCTCCCTGCACTCACAAAGGAACTCCAGCTAGACAAAGAGGCTAATTAAACCCAGACTTTGATTTTCTCTCCTTCTCGGTGATCACTCCAAGACAAACCGTGAAGCCAGCCCTTGAAGAGGGCCAAGCAGAGCAGCACAGGCTCGAGCTGTGCACGGGGAGCACAGATCAAAAGCAGCCAGCTGGGACTCACGATGGGGCACCAATGGCACAGGGCATTCTGCTACTGGCAGGCATGGGAGCAAGGGCTGGAGCCATGGGGAGAAGCAGCCCCTGAATAGGGCTGGGGAGGAGAATGAGGTCCTGGGAGCGTTGTTTGCAACGCAGATGCCTGCAGCATATTTGTATCTGACAACTCACTTCGGAAGAGCAATTAGCAAGTGAAAACCACACATAAAACTGCTTACAGAATTTAAATAAAATTGCACATGCGGGAAAGGCTGAGCCCTCTCTGCACTCCACATAAGCGCAATGAGGCTGCAGCGGGGCTGTCCAGCCCACCTGCACATCACCAAGGTGCAGGAGCAGCATTGTTCGGCTCTGCCCACCAACCCCACAGTGATGTGGTGGAGTGCCATTTCTCAGGGACCCCAAGCCAGCTGCAGCCAGGGTGGACACAGACAGAGCTGATGCAGCAGCTTGGTGCTGGGACTCACTGGGCACGAAAATGACAACATGGTGTTAATCATAATTTAGTTCTTACTGCATAAAGCAGCAGCAGAGGAACAAAGTCTGCTCACAGCCAGGGAGCGATGGCTCTGGCACGGCGAGGAACTGTTCACTGCCACCAAAGTGCCAGCAGAGGGATTGCTGCCATTTGTGCATCATAAGCTCTGAGTGGTCTTCAGACCACCTGGGGTTTGATCCAGGGTCTATTGAATTTGACAGGAGCCATCCCCGTCCCCCTCCCTGCTGTGCACCAGGTGCAGGGTTGGTGCCACTGGCACTGGGCAGTCTGGGCTCCAGGGAAACACGTGGATTGTCATATGTCCCTTTGGTGGCCTGGACATGAAGGTGGCTGAGCTGAAGCTGCACATCTCAGAGGGGATCTGCGTCACCTAGATGGGACATGTGTCACTATGGGCTTGGTCACCATGCTGGTACCTCTGGCTGGGTTCAATCCAGGCTCTTTGCTTCATTTTTCTTCCGCTGCAGGGGAAAATAGCCTGCCTTCCCCTCACCTCTGTCCTCCAATACATCCCAGGGCCGTAACTGATGCTCTTTAAAGATTCATGGGGTTATTTGGCTGGGACCTGCAGGCACGCTGCTGAGCTCCAGCCCAGAGCATTTTTCTCAGCAACCTGACATGTCTGTGAAGCTCGGTGCTCTTCGTCCTTCCCTGGGAGCAGCCCCAGAGCTGCTGTGGGGCTTTTGCAAATAACATACCTTTAGAACTCTGATTCCTTTTCCCTAAAAGATGAAGAGCAAGTCAGCAGATAAGCAGGCAAAAAGAGCCAAGAAATCCACTTGTGACGCCCAGAAAGGGAGCGAACTGCAGCGCTCCTGCTCTGCCCCAGCCCTGTTCCAGCTTCACTGCCCATATTCCCGGGCTCAAACCTGTGTGCTGCCTCTGGATCCCACCCTGTGCACTCCTACGTCCCACTGCCACCACCCTGAGTCCCCATCTGCGAGCTCAGATGTTCCCCAGGGCCCCATGGAAATGGGTCCTGAGCCCAGCCCAGGGGATGTTCAGCCCTGCAGGGACGCACCTTTCTTGCCTATAGGCAGGCAGGTGCTGGGTGATGCTACCTACAGGATTTGGGACCGCAGATGTGTTCACCCTACATGTGTTCATTTTCACTCACTGTACTCTGCTTTGCCTTCTAGCACAGCTACCGGGAGGTGGGGATTCTGCTGCTCTACCTGGCTGTGGGGGTGTCTGTCTTCTCCGGCATAGCCTACACTGCAGAGAAGGAGGAGGATGTTGGCTTTGACACCATCCCGGCATGCTGGTGGTGGGGCACAGTCAGCATGACCACGGTGGGGTATGGTGACGTGGTGCCCGTCACTGTGGCAGGGAAGCTGGCCGCCTCAGGCTGCATCCTGGGCGGCATCCTGGTTGTGGCACTGCCCATCACCATCATCTTCAACAAGTTCTCCCACTTCTACCGCAAGCAAAAGGCACTGGAGGCCGCCGTGAGGAACAGTGAGAAGAAGCAGCCCGAGGAGGTGGAGAGCGAGCAGGACTCAGAGGTGCTGAGCGAGAGCTCCCTGGGGAGGGGCAGCCCTGACCGCCGCAGCCTCACACCCGGTGCCCTCCCCGCTCCCTGAGTCCCGTGCAAAGGACAGGGGGTCCGGGTTGGTGCAGAATGAGCCCAGGAGGAACGGTGGTGCCTGGTGTGGGACCCACTCTGCAGCAGGACTGGCTGGCCATGGCCCTCCTCGCATTGCAGGTGTCCCCATCCCTGTCCATGGGGCTCCCGCATTCCCTCCAGAGGAGTGGCTGCTGCAGATGCTGGCACCCAGCCCACGCAGCACAGAGCCTGCCAAGGGCTGCTGGGGCATGGGGAACACTGCTGGACACAGAGCAGCTGCCTCTGCTGTGTCCGTGTGCCCCTGACTCCTGGTGCAGGAGGAGCTGGGGCTGCAGCCCTTCTGCGGGAGGGAGCAGCCTTGCCGTGACCCCCTGCACGTTCCTGCAGAGGGAACCTTGCACTGCTCCTCACCAGCTCCTGCCTGACCCCTCACAGCCAGGCATTGGGGCACCCCCATCCCATCTGGCTCCCCACCTGGCTGCGCACATCTCAGCACAGCATCAATTCCCTCAGCAACGTGCACCCTGCAGCCACCCGACCAGCCCAGAGCCACGCAGATGGCTTTCAGGGCACGGCGGTGGGTGGGAATGGCTCTGCCACAGGGACTGCTGACCTCGGGGAAGAGAAGATGGAGTTGGTGCAGACACAGCCCCTCTGCATGGGTGGGAGCAGGGTGTTGGTGCTCACGTCCGTGTCTTCCAGCATTATCTGCCCCGGTCCGGCTCCCACTCCACTGTTACTTGAACAAAGGAAGGAATTTCCCCTTCTCTCCATAAATATTCCAGTAGCAAAATGTACTAAAATAGGAAGACTGAATGACATGTAATAACTAAAAAAGCATTATGCAAATCATTAAAAGAGCATGTAATTTAATTTTCTATCTATGCATGGGATGCATATGGTGTATTTTATTAAAAGATGGAAGTGACCCACTTGGGAAGCTGGTTGTCTGTGTCACAGCAGCTCCACCACTGCCCATCAGAGTGAAGGGACCACACGTCCCTGGGGCAGCAGTTTTCCCAGGAGCGTCTGCGCTCTCACTTGGCACAGTGGGTAAATCAATTAAATGCTGTATTGGGTTATTTCCACATAAATCGCCCTCCACACTCAAAAAGTGATTGATGAAGGAGAGACTGAGTTACCTCCAGGGGATGGTGATTAAGGAGTGACCTTATTAAGCTATTCCATGCAGCCGAGAATTGGTCACTGCTGCTTAGGGAAAAGCAAACTTCATTACTCGTTTCAAACTTTTTCCCTTTGCCAGCTGCCACAGCCCTGGCTGCCCTGACCGTGCTCTGTGCTGGGTATGGGAGATCTTAAGGGTTGGGACCTGGGGGATAGGAGACCCCTCACCACAGCACAAGGGCTGTTCCTGCTGCTCCAACAGCTCTGGGTGGGACTCAGCCTCTATTAAGTTAACAGCAATGAGCTGGCAGGGAGAAGGGCAGGATGCGATTCGTAGATGGGATTGAATTGTTTTAAAGTTTTTAAAGAAGTTGGCTGCTTTCCTGGGCTCTTAAATTAAAGGGTAATTAAGTCACTCTCAGTCTGGAAATAGCTGATGGGTGTTTCCTGGTCTGACTATTAAATTTTGCTAGAGTGATTAATGCAATGAGAAATCATCAGCTCTCAAGTCAGGGCTGTCAGCCAACGCCAAGAGCATTTATCTGAGCTCCTGCTTGGGCTCCTCTGGCCCACAGACAGAAGGAAAGAGGGCAAAATGAGGGCTATCCATCAGCCACTGTTAGCCACATGCAATTCGTATCTCTGCACAACGGGCACTGTGCATGGATGAAAGGAGTGCAGGTGAGGACTCCCCTGGGGTGCAGCCCTGCCTTCGTGGAGGTGTTCTGCAGTTTCATGGTGATGCTGCTGAGAGCACGTAAGTGCTCCGGGCTTTCCTAGCTACTAGGAATGCCTGCAGCCTCCCTCCCGTTGGATTCCACACTCCTTCCTAACATTTAAAAGCTCACATCTATTTTATTTCTTCTGGCATTGCTAACACAAGCTGCCTCCTGAATGGATTCTGTCTCTGCCTCAGTTAGTCATCCCTCTGGGACAGATTTAGTAACTGCTCAGGGAAACCACGTAAAAGCCAACAGTTCGCCGTGGAAGGCAGCACCCACTCACTGTCAGCATTCTGAACGAGTGAGCTGAGAGTGCAGCCAGGATTAGGAGTGTGACTCGAGCCTCACCTGCTGTGTAGGGAGGGTGGACTGCCCCACACCAGGTCCCAAAGCACCTCCTGTCACTGCCTGCCAGCTCTGTGCACGTGTACATAACAGTCAGGACACTGAAGCTTTCTGTAAGGACAGTTTATTTGCCCTTTTAAACAAATAAGGCAAGAAATGTTGAGAAAGATCAAACACAACCTCCTGTATCAAACTCAGAGGAATGCAGTAAAAGTTACTATTTCATACATACATAAACTAAAGACCCAACACTATTATATACAAACAGGCAGACCTTACAAAAGAGCATTTCAAGTCAGCACTTTATGCCAGTGTTGCTAATTTGTTACAAAAAAGTTAAAGCTACAAACTTCACATTATTAAGTCTCATGTGACTGACATCATCAGCATCTCTGGGTTTCAGAAGCAAAGATCATGGTTTGTCCAGAACGCTTTCAGCAATGCAGATGGGCCCAAGGAGCACCTGAATGCAGCTTCACAATTAAGCAACTGCTTTGCTTAAAAACCTTGTCAGAACAGCTCTCCTGGAGGGTGGGAGCCTTGGTCTTAGTCGGTAGGGCTCTGAGAACTAAGAGGGTACAGTGCTCTACAAGGGCATCAGAAAGGGAATTAATTTCTCTCTACCTGACAATCAGTGAAGGAGAAAGTAATTCGAACTCTAAGTGCAAGAAATATCACCAAGCCTCAGCCACCGCAAGCTTGTAAGAAAGGTTCAAAGGCAGTTGGGCCAGTTTTACTTATTTTGGTTCATTTGCTGTATTTTAAGACAATCGCACCAGCAAAGCAGAGCATCTCAACAGTGCTTACATTCAGTTACAGCAGACACAGGTTGCATAATCCAAAAGCACACACCACAATGTGGTGCTTCACCTAAAACTCAGGTTTTCTAATGCCCTACGATGACCAGAAAGTTACCTACACAGTGCAGAGGTAAAACTACTCCCAGCAGGATCTGCCTGACCGGAATTACACCCAGCAGCGCACGGTTTGCCACGTGCCACATCTCTATGCCCACCAGAGGTACAAAGCAGGCTTGCAGAGCAGTGCTGCTCACCCTGGGACGAACCGATGCAGCCAGATCTGCAGGGGGTACAAATGGCTTGGTTCCTTTCACAGCAATGGAGTATGCCTGTTAACAGTAGTCAGCAGTCTGCTGCAAGCAGGGAATGAGAGCCTCTCGAGGCATGGAATGAGCAGCATTTGATTCAGGAGACAGTGCTGTTTAATGACCTGCGGGAAGCACCAAGGCCTGTTTCAGAGGATTGCATGGAAACTCTTCTCTCCATCAGAGCATAACAAAAACAAATCGGTAGGAATACGTGGTTCTGTCCAAATATTTCATCATAAGCTAGGTACACCTAAAGCTGTGCAGAGGCATCACTCGCTCTGTGCCCAGATCTGGGCTCACCTCACGCTGCTTCAGTTTCCTCCTCAGCTCCACCAGTGGGAGCGAAGTGCACCATCCTCACTGATTGTACAAGCAGGGCATCTTCAGCCATAGACCCGTGTCGGGAAATTTAATGAGAAAGGAGCACTCAGAGGGACTGAACAGAATGAATCTCTTCCCAGACATTGGCTATTGGGACATCAGCCATTGGCCTCTCTGGATCAGCTCTGCCCCCACTCCATCCAACAATGCACATCTCTGATAACCCAACGAATGTCTGCTTTCTGTTTAACTTTCTGACGTGCTAAGCCTGGCAGAAATGCAAAGTATTGTGAAGTTTTTATTCCAGCACCTAAAGAGGTAAATGTGAAATGATGAAGCGTATGAAATATTTCACACACTGCAGAGTCCTTGCAGTGCTCTCAGACACAGCAGAAGTACCAAATTCTGAGAGAGGTTCAATGACTTCCACCCATTCACACACCATGCCCTCCCAGCACTCTGCTGTCAGCAGAAGGACAGACGGAGGGGAATCTGCTTTGTTTTAGGTCAGATCATTGATTGGCTTTCGGCTTTAAGTCAAAGTGGGCTTTAAATTACAGAATGTAACTTCTCCTGGAGGCACAACACACTTCATCTACTCATACTAATTCCTAACGTACACAAGCAAAGGACAAAAACAAGTTCTTGAAGAAATCCCACTCGATCAAAGCACAAAGTGTAAGGCATGGGGCTTATTACAGCTTTTTAAAAATGAGATTTAAGTGCCTTCCAAACAGCTGGGACAGTCTGTAGGTGTTCTCATCTACTCTCTTCAACGACCTAAAACTTATCAGTACCTTAACAGCAGAACCATACAGTCATCAGCTTGAAACAGAGTCTGTGCATTCACAAAGAACAACAAAAACAATAAAAAAAAACCCACAACAGATGCAGCCATTAAATACACAATTCATATTAACTTAAAACGGAGTATGGAAAGGTTCAGTTGAAAAGAGAGTGAGCCATCTTCCATTGGTCTATTTCTATCCACTCATCTGACTTAAAAATAATCCATCTAAAAACAGTAACAGAACTCCTTCGGATACTGCTTTAAATATGTGCCTAAATTAAAACACACCACAAGGATTCTCCACTTAATGGCATTCCTGAGTTCACAAAGGTGCTATGGAAAAATAAATGAGCAGAAGTATTGCCCTCTATTTTGCTAGCGTATTTCAATAGAAATCAACCTGTTCAGTAGTCACAGAAGCAAGGAGCTGATTGCTGGAGGCTGGAAGGACATTCTACCCGTGGCTCAGAAGTTCTGCTGCCGCCGCTTCTTGGCTTCAATGGCATCGAGGATGGGCTGCCGCTTGGACTGGTACTTCTGGCGGATCTCCTCGATCTCCTGCTCCATCATGGGGTCCAGCGCTGACAGCCTCCTCTGCAGCTCATCCACACTCCATGTCTTCAGCTGGCAGGGAGAGGAAACAACAGATATTGGCATCAGCACTGAATGCACGCACAGCCACAGGTGCTTCCGTACACTCAGGTTGAACATCAGTCATGGTGAGGAGTTCAGACTCCTCTGCTGAGTAAGAAATCCCAGAGCACACACGTCGGGTCGCTCAGTTCAGCCCCGCACTGATACAATATGCAAGCACAACTGGTGTTTTACAGAACAGCTGTCTTTCACTGTGCAGATGTCAGGCTGGTGTGGACAAGCCTCCCGCACTGACTTCACTGTGTGCCTGCCCTCGGCTTAATTGGTTCTCTTGTGAGTGCCTATTTGCTGAGAACTGGCACAGAAAAGTTTTATCCTGTGATTCAAGGTGCCAAAGTTTGCCCAGGACAGCCTGAATTGTCCACAGCTATGTCCTTTATGTGAAACTGTAACCTGGAAAACAAGAGGATTTTAGGATAACACTGAAAAAACAGGGATGTTGAGTGTGCTTCCCCCAGGTGCCAGTTCTTCTCTCAACCAAGACAAAGAGAAAACGTCCAGAATAACATGAGAGGTGCTGCCTGACAGGCACTGCAGCACAGTGGGGATGATTGCCTGTATGCCTGCTTGCTGCCACAGGATCACAAATCTGATCTAGTAGTCCAGGCAAAACAAAACTCTTTCAGTATTGCTGCACAGTCTGCTTCTCCAATCAGCAAGCTGTTCATTAGAAAGACAAAGCACTTCCACTGAGAAAATATACATTATTTATACACAGTCATGCAACATTAGCAGGCAGCAGCTTAAGCTGATGTATGGCATCAGTTACCTTTTCACAATAATTTATTACAGAGCAGGTGATCATTCAACATTCCCTTCCCTCATAGTCCAAGGAATTTACAGCAGAGATGTCAAAGTCTGAAGTGGACAAAGGCAACAGGAAGACACAGTGACAGGGTCAGTGGGCACAGTGGTGATGGGCAGACAGTTGGACTAGACAAGCTTAGTGGTCCTCTCTAGCCTTAATGACTCTGTGATTAATAGCAACAAATCTGAAGTACGTTAACTGTGCAGACAGGGGATGCAGAACCAGGCTGCTGATCATGGGTTAAACAGAAGGGAGGTGCTGGGGAGGGAGGAGAGGGAAGTCAATGCTCAGAGAAACACGTCCTGTGTGTAGTGCTGGGTGATGGTGAACCACCTGCAGGCAGTTCATCTGGAATAGCATCAGTGTGGCTGTGAATGCCACGCTGCTGCTAACAGAAGCAGAGAAGCCAGAGGGCAGCCCCAGCTGAAAGGTGCAGAGCGTGAATGCTCACCATGACAGCGACGGCGTGCAACTACTCATAGCTGAGAAGCAGTGCTCACGCAGGGCAGGGGAAGGGGAGCAGGGATGCCTGGCCCCGCACCCACAAGTCATCTTCTCACTTGCAAATGCATCTTCGAAAGGAAAACCAGTAGTGCTTAGAACCTGACCGTCTCCATTTCACTTTGCTGCGTGGCCTTGCCTCATAAACCAGCCCCATAGACACACTTTCTCCTGGAAATGAAGTTTTTAAAGGCTGGCACATCTGTCTCTGTAGGGTTAGGCTTCATTATTCTCCAAACGAAGCGCCAGGAGCAAAATAAGAAGAGGACAAGGACAGAGCATTCTGCAATGCCCAGGGTGAAGTCTCAGTGCTGACAAGCTGCAATTAGAGCTGGGCTCAGCCCCATCCCCTCCTCACTCCTCAGCGATTCCTCTGTGGTAAAGAGCCCAAATGCCTTTGTCAGAGCTATCTATTTTCATCCGCCGTGATCAAACAGCCATGACAACCTTTTAAAGGAAGGAACTGCATTTCAAACGTAAAGGCTGATATCAAACACTTGTTCTAAGGCTAGTGTCTTACAATGAAGTGTATCTCACAACAGGGAGAGGGGGTAGAGCAGGGAAAGTGTTCGAGCAAGGTCCCATGTGCAGCTAGCTAATTGTTAACTATTTGATTAACAGCTTTCTTTCTACGCAAGGTTGTGAGGCACAATTTTTTCTTTCAAGTAACAGATCCACAAGCTACCACTGACATCCCTTGCAAGCAGTTCAGATAATCACTGATAACAAACCACTGCACAGTGCTCACCTCAGCAAACTGCCTCCCCGAGTCACCGTCCTTTCAAATCAGCATTTAAAAAAAAAGAAAAAAATCATAAAACAACCCATCCCCAGCATTGGTTACAATCCAGGCAAGTGTGGCTGCAACACAATATTCTGCTGAATGCAACTGAACCTGAGCAAAAGGGGAACACGTGAAGGCTCTCTGCAGGGATGTCAGACCCTTTTCCTGCAGCAGGGCAGCAGCAAGGCCAGCTTGGGGCCCAGCATAGAAGTATGGTCCCCATATGTGGGCACTGTTGCCTTGGGACAGCCCAAACGACTGCCATAAATACAGTGCTGCCCAGCAGTCCCACCTCAGCTCCCATTCCTAGTGCTTCTCTTGCAAAAAAGACTGCCAAGAACACCCATCTGCTGTATGAATTATAAGCATCTGACAGAAAAGCCATTTCCCAGCAGCTGTAACACTCTTCTCTTCCACTATAACATTCCAATGGAGAACAAACTCCTGCCACCTCTCCACTGGCTCACAGGAACCCTGAGCACTGCCCTCCTGCAGCTTTTCCCTTTCCTTTGGCGACGCTGCATCAGATCCCAAGATTTAGTGCAAAGCCTTTTCTTTGCATCTCCCCCACTGTGCACAACACGTCGGCTTGTTTTTCAAACACTCTCTTAAAATTCCTGAAGCTGGTGCCCAACCTGAACCCATCCATCACAGAGAGGGGCTGCAGTTATCCTATCACCTCGCAGATCTGCAGACGGATGCTGCCTCCTGGAGCACAACCAGAATATAAATGCCAGTGGTGAGATGGGGTTATTTCCTCACGGTGAAAACATTTGAGCAGCCCTGCAGAATTACCACCACCAGCTGTGGGTTGTTTAGGAAGCAAACACCAGCTACCAGCCTGCCTTCAACCCCAACATTCCAGTTGGCATCCACTGGAGCTTGATGTCATCTTAGAAGTTTTAAATAACCCTTTGAAAAAGTGGCTTGAGCGATTCTCACTTCATAAGGGCCAGTGGGAGTTTGAAGACTGAAATACAGAAATAATGAAACTGCAGCTTCCCACGCCACACAGGGAAAAGACATCAGCTAGATGGGAACTAAAGAAAAAAAATAATTCTTGCTTGAGCATAGCTTTTGTTGTTCTCCCTCCCCTTTCTTCCTGGTTTTACACTGCTGTTTAACAATTCTTGACTGCACACCCAGAGATCAAAGCCCCTGAACAGACTCAAAGCATCTCGAATCGTGTTAGCAAGGAGCACAATGCTCTGCATTCAGGCAGGCAACACTGAGCATGGCTTCAGAAGGGTGTCCATCCAAAAGAAGTTATCCAAGCCATGCTAAATAGTCAATGCCAAAAAGGGGTTTGCTGCTAGAGATGATGAAAACCGCCACTACTGTCATAACAAACCTCAGAATTAAAGTAAACTTTCAGATTAAAATGGGTTTTATGGAAACGGCACATGGACATGCAGACATGTGGAACCTGCTGAGACCATGGAGTACCTAAGGATGTTTGCCAGCTCCTGGGTGCCACAGGAATCAGGTGTCAGCAGGGTTCTGATTTTCAGAGGAATGTGGAAGTAAAGGCTACATGTAAAGGGCCAGACACTCCAAAATCAGCCAAGATTCCTCCAAGAACAGCAGTCACCCAGATAACACTAAACCACCTGAGAGCCGCTCCAACTACGTAATGAAATCATTATGGACAAGGAGCAGGAAGGAAAAAGGCACAGCGACAGACAGGTTAAAGGAACAACAGCAGCAATGCTATCAGGATGTTTCCCTTCCAATAAATCCTTCCAATAAATCCTAGGGCAATGCTTACGTTTCGCTGTCAGATCCGGCGACTCCAACTGACGCACATCCACCTCAACTTTCCAACTCTTCTTTTATCACCTCCTCGAGCAGAGTTTTATTTTAGGGCTGCAGACACTCACTGGGTGCTACGTGCAACTATTTGTGGCAGCACCTCGGAGCACAGTGCTGCGTGTGAGAGCAGCCCAGGAGCTGGGGAGAAGCTGTCACAGATCACAGCCCATGGACACGAGCTCTCATGGCTGTAAGAACTCAGGTTATTCTGGAATTAGCCTTCTGCAACCTGAAAGGCTGTTCAAGTGCTGTATCAATTAAGTGCTCACACCAAATACACCCAGAGGAAGCAGATCACAGAATAGTGCCATGCACCTTTTTTTTTAAAGCCAGAAAAAAAAGCATTCAATTTCTCAGGCCAAAATTAAATGAAGAGGGTGATTTCTCATGCTAAGCAGTGCTCTGGAGTCTAGGTCCTGAAAATGGTGATATAAATTGGTGTTGGAATAGCATGCCATTTTCCCTCAGCGTTTTTCCTGAAATGCTGGCTCAGTCCCATTTGGCGTCCTTTCAATCACTGATCTAAAAATTAAGTGCCTTGTTCTCATTTATGTTCCCAGCGTTAGAAGGCCTCGATGGAACGTACGAGCAGGCATTAACCACTTATTCACCATAACCGTGTGCCCAACGCAAGGGACACAGGGATCTAAGAACCTGCAGGCACTCCCTGCCCACTTCTCCTCCTGACTGCCAGGTCCCCACAGCCTCACACATCTGTCAGTCTGTAGCTGTGCCACGGAGGGGCTTCAGTAAATCAGAACCCCAGCACCAACACAAATATTAATTACCTTGATTCTCCCCCCTTTTTGGCATGAGAAGTTTCATACCGTTATGAAAGCAAAGGATGAAATGCACTCATTGTGCGATTTCATGCAAGATTAAAAACACAGATATTAATCTTTCAAAGGATTTGAAAAATAAGTCTCAGCAGCACAAGCTTCTGCTTTTAATGCATCTTAATTATTTAGCAAAACACGTCATGGGCTGCAAGCATCCAGCACGAGTTAAACAGACTGCAGCCAGAACTTCTAAAAGAAAGGGACTGCGGTGAGATGCAGTGAGTGC